CCAAAAAAATTCTCAAAAATCAACGGAATTTTTTAGCCGCTTGAAACTTGCAGTTCTTCAGACTAGAATTGAATGTGCTACAAAACTGCATACCAGAATTTTTTCTAAAGATTCTGATTAAAAAGTTTGAAATTTGGGTGAAAAATTGCAAAATTTTTATAATTTTTATACAAAGTTTAAAATCTGAATTTATATGGTGTTTGTTGTATAGCCAGCTAGGCTGTTATAAAAAAATAATAAACATTAAATAAACAAAAGACAAATAGCCAAAACTGGTCAAAATATCGCACTCCTATTATTTTGTGGACAACTGTATGTGCATAGATACGTATGTGCATAGTACGTATGTGCATAGATACGTATGTGCATAGATACATATATATGTAAGTGTCCGCATATATTTTTTCTCGTCACTAGTTCTGTCGCTTCACTGCAGCAAAACCAAGTTGTGGGGAAAACCCTGACGATATGCGTACAATTGAAACCATGGGTTTGAAGATAGCGCAAATTGATGTGAAAGTTTCAATTTCATATTAAATATATTTATGTATGCATGTACATTTGTACATATGTACAAATGTAGTTTCGATTTAAAAAAATCGGATAAAGTTTTTCTTTCGCCATTCATACACCTCTAATTTTAGTATTTATTAAAAAAACTAAATGAAATTCAAAAACTCTATCTTGCATTTGGTTTTACTCAATACCAATTTGAGCTGTCGCAGTGTTATCAAAAAAAAAAAGAAGTTATCAATAGGTAGGTTCAGAAGGCGCAGCAGTTGAGCGCAACCGTTGCTAAACAAAAATCAGTGATCGTTATGCGTCTTTTGAACGACTTCATACATTAGCTGTCAAATTCAACTCTCAAAGGTACACACCAAGGTAGTATCAGTAGAGCAAAAACAACATTTGCGTGTATTTTGTTGTTGCTTCTGGTATCGAAAGTGTCAAAAACTGTTCTGAATTTTTTCTTCTAAATCAAAGCGTGCCATGTGAAATACAAAAAATTATAAAAAATAAAAAATTGAAATTGGAAAAAATAAAACTTGATGCAACTTTCTTTCCTAGTAAATTTGTTTGCTTCTCGAAGCATTGATCCATCCTTTGCAAGGCCCAGTAATCAGCGGTTGTGCTGCTGAGTTGGGCGAACGTTCCAAAAGCTGCTATTCAATCGCTTGTTTTGTATGGAAAAAGGTTTCACATGCAAATGGATTTTAACAATTCAGAATTTTTGTGAGAAAAAATTAAAAATATTTGACATTTTCGAGACCAAATAATTTGAAAATAAATCAAATCAGCTGCTCTACTGATACTACCTGTTCAATGTACCTTGGTACACACCAACATGTTGTCTCAAATGATCAGAAAAATATTACGATCATCTAACACGCAACTATTCAGTTGATCAGAAGTACGCAACAACGCGTTCAGAAGGTGCAATCGCACCAGTTACTGAGCTGTTTCGCCTTCTGAACGTGCCAAATGAAAATTCGTTTCTCTTGAAATCAATAAGTTATATGGCTGCGTATGTACATATGTACATATGTATGTACATATTGCGAAACTTTTTTTATTTGTAAAGGCTCTCAAGAAAAACTAAAAATTCATATAAAATTACGCACAATAAATGGAAAATAAATTTTCTTCTATAAAAAATTTCTTAAGAAAAAAATGCTCATACATCTCGTCGCTACCATGTCCAACTATCGAATGTGAAAATCGGCACTTTTCAAAATTTTGATTTGCCACTAATAATTTTATTTCGTATAGCAGCATTGCTTAAGTTATTGTTTTTGACAACTTATTTGTTGGTTAATGACTGCAAATAGTTTTATAGAAAATTAGAGACGAGAAATAATACTTTCATAAAAATTTAAGTACATACATAGATTTAAAAAGCTGCTTGAATACAAAAGTTTTATGAAAATGTCACATTAAACAACTGTCTAAATCTACGTTATTTTTTATAAATAAGGCCGTAAACATTTCCTTACATCGTCAATTTCCATATTCTATTTTTACTCTTTCAATTTCACTGACCAGCGCTGCAAACGATATCAACTAGTAGGCTAACAACCAGAATTGAAATTTAATACGCAAGTACTTACCGTACTACAAGTATACAGAGAGTAGATTTGCTACTCCCTTTTGGCAGCAGCAAATATCTCTCGTACGCGATGAGAGAAAGTAGAGTACGTACTTTGGTGGAGTAATAGCAAGTACGTCAAGTATTTACTCTCTCAACGCCAAGTAGTGTATGTATGCGGAAAAAGAGTAACAATGTGTTGGGAGTAGAGTACAATGCAAGGAGTACTTATTGAACGAAATGCGGCGAATACACTTGCGCTGGACTCTAATAGATATCAATATATACTTGCTAAGTGGTTTTAGCTGGTTTGTTTTTTTTTGTCGATTTTCTATAGGCTTTGGACATTTCCATTTTTGTATAATTATAACAATTGGCATCCATAGTTGTGAAGAAAGAGATTAATAACTTTTTAAGTATTGCGGCCATGTGCCTAGGAAGTAAATTTTTTTGTATGTGAAACTCTTCTTCGCTTTTGAGAAAAGCAGTGGCCGAAAATTGCTGCGATACATTCTTTTATTATGTTAAAAATGTAAAGGGTATATAGCTAAATCCTTTCTATTTTGTAAACTATAATTACAATAACGAAATTGGAGATTGCATTGTTTTTCATACATAAATCAAACTAAAACCTTAAAATAGAAACTAACTATTTTGGGAGACATTTACTTATATTTTTGTATTATTTTGTCAGTCGGTAAAAATCATAGCGTATTTACATACTAGTTCCTTTCACTCAAGACCTTCAAAAAGTCTTTAGCCTGCCATAATTTCATTTTCCGTTCTGTGAACCACTTAAGTATTTTTTAAGTATGTAGTCTATGTATGTTCTTCTTTGCTTAGTCAAAATTTATCATCATTTCGTATTAGTTACGGAAAGTCGCTACTTCTTTGATTTATCGTGTGTAATACATATCTATTCATACATATTTTTAGGTTTTATTGTCGGCAACGCTGGTCTTTATGTGACGCTTCTTCAATTCCTTATCGCCTATTTGATACTCCTGTTTACCGTTGCGTCTGTATGCGCAATCTCTACCAATGGTGCCGTGGAAGGTGGTGGCGTTTATTGTAAGTAATGCATCATATTTTCATATAGATAATTTTACTAATTGTCTACATTACATTTGCAGTCATGATAAGCCGTACGCTAGGCCTAGAATTTGGCGGTTCGATTGGTACACTTTTCTTTCTGGCTAATGTCGTCGGTTGTGCTATGGCTATATCTGGTTGTACTGAGGGTGTAATGGAGAACTTTGGCCCTGGTGGTTACTTCACAGAAGGTGGTGACTCACTACCCGATGGCACTTGGTGGCGCTTCCTCTTTTCAACGCTAATAAATACAGCCATGTTAGTGGTGTGTTTGATTGGTGCCGCACTCTTTGCTAAGACATCGGTATTAATTTTGGGTATTGTCACAGTATGCTTGATGGCCACGTATATAAGCTTCTTGGCCGAAGGTCCGAAAGAGGTAATTGCGTCATATTGATTTTATTAAAAAAAAATTTGAGTACATAGGACATACATACATACACATTTTTAGGTATTTTAAAACTTATAAGAAGCTTATTTAGCGATGCAACTATTTAGTTACTCTACTCCCATGATGTATGTATTTTGGTGGTCCAAAAATGCATGTGCAAAAGTAAAGTCGGAATTTTTATGCTCTCACCCCCTAGAATTGTTCTTTTTTCCCATATAAAATACATGGAAAACTTTGAGCGACCCCTTAATATCATATCATTAATATTATTCCCACGACAGCCGGTTCTACGTACCGGAAGGACTCGGGTTTTACCCGACCAAGGGCTGTTGTTTCGGCGATCTAACCCCGTTTAGGTCGGCGAAGTATCTCAGAAGTTGTCCATCCATAGGGCTACATTCACTACGTATTCTCCTACTCAGGGCTGGCATCGAGTCAAACCCAGGGCCAGAAACCTACACCTGCTGTGTATGCCGGAGACGATTACACCACAACTCCACCTCAGTCAAGTGTAATGCCTGCGAGGGGTGGAGTCACCACAGAGTCTGCTCGGGACTACGGACACATAGACAGTGGGCCACGTCGTACGTGGCCCCCTGTTGCTCAAACAGAGCAGCCTCCACGGCTAACCACAGTCCGCCCGAGCAGCCTCACACACTCACACAGCAGCCTCACACAGTCACCACAACACAACAACATAATAACACCACAGACCGTGCCACAGCCACTACAGACCACATAACACAACTTTGTTGAATTGCGCCGGGTACAACGTGCACCGTCGAGATCGCGAGCGAGATAATGGTGGTGGCTTAGCGTTCATCACGCACCACACCGTGCAGAATCGTCTTATCGAAGCAGACATCGACCGCAGGGATACCACCCTAGAATGTCAGGGCATCGCTATCCGGTCAGGCGATGTCGAGCTCGAAATATTTAACATATACATACCCCCTGTCACCTGCTGCCCGGCAGGATATCACCCTGATATAGGTGCGCTCCTCAGAGGTGAAAACCGTATGGTAGTAGGTGACTTTAATGCGCACCACGATCTTTGGCACTCAAGCCTGTCAAACGATCGTAGGGGAATAGACTTGGCTGAGCAGATAGACGATTCGACATTCTGCACAATGAACGACGACGCACCCACCAGGATTATGGGTAACTGCAGTAGCTCGCCAGACATCACAATAGTCAGCGCTGGTCTGATAAACAGCATAACATGGCGACCTATGCTGAGTCTAGCATCAGACCACCTACCCATAGTCATCTCGATAGATAAACCAACCGACTTTGCCTCCGCCAAACACCGGAACTATATCAACTTTTCTAAAGCTGATTGGAAAGGTTACGCGGAGTTTACCGAAAACACCTTCACAGCGCTCTCCACACCAACCGACGTCCATCTCAGTGAACGTAAGTTCCGCAGGGCTGTCACTGCTGCTGCAGCTCGCTTCATACCGGCAGGATGTATATCGGACCCACGTCCAAACTTCCCTGCCGAAGCGGCTGTTCTAGCCGATGAGCGTGATAGTCTTCGTCAGGCCGATCCCGGAGATCCCCGTATCAGGGATCTCAACGCGGAGATTCGGCAACTAGTAAACGTACATAAGCGGAAGAAGTGGGAGGAGCATCTGAAGACCTGTAATTTCACCTCTGGTGTGAGCAAGCTTTGGTCAACCGTGAGGTCATTGTCTAATCCGACGAAGCACGACGACAGAGTCGAAATTTCCTTCGGCGACCATGCCTCGTCGGACCCGGAGCGATGCCCGAGCTATTTTAGCCGGCAGTTCATACTGCATCCTCCGGTGGACAAAGCCAAGCGTCGAGTGACCAGAAGGCTGCACAAACTGCCAACAACTTGTGCCCCCCTTGTTTTCACTTGCGGTGAAGTTCAGGTGGCCATCGGGAAGGCGAAAGCCTCCAAAGCCATGGGTCTCGACGGAATATGCATGCTGATGCTGAAAAATTTGGGTCCTGCGGGGGTAGCGTACCTAACGGAGGTCCTCAACTTGTCAATGGCCACTCTCATCATCCCAGGCATCTGGAAGGTGGGGAGAGTGGTCCCACTGCTCAAACCGGGGAAACCTGCCAACAAAGGAGATTCCTATCGTCTGATAACACTCCTCACTCGAGGCCTTGCTACTCCCGTACTTCACAAACCACCTGACCCCAGCGAAGCATCAGCATGGTTTCCGTAAAGTGCACAGTACAACAACAGCACTTAACGCCATAAACACTCAGATAACTCGTGGCCTTTACCGTAACCGTCCCTGTGAGAGGACGATTCTAGTAGCGTTGGACTTGTCAAAGGCGTTTGACACCGTCTGCCATTCCACGCTACTAGAAGATATAGAGGCCTCCTCTCTCCCACAGAGGCTCAAACGGTGGTCGGCAAATTATCTGAGTGGTCGACATTCGTCGGTAATGTTTAGAGACAAAACGAGTAAGCAGCGAAAAATAAAACCGGAGGTTCCTCAGGGTGGTGTCCTTTCCCCGCTACTGTTTAACTTTTACATTTCAAAGCTCCCTCAACCACCAGAGGGAGTCTCGATTGTCTCTTATGCCGACGATTGCTCGATCATGGCGACTGGGAATGGAATTGATGACCTGTGTTCGAAAGTAAACGGGTATCTCTCCGAACTTTCTCGCTTCTTCACTGCAAAGTGTCTAGCCCTCTCCCCTACGAAATCCTCCGCGACCCTGTTCACAACCTGGACGAAGGAGGTCAGGCTACCGCTGGGGATTCACATCGATGACATACCAATTTCGACGGTGAATAACCCCAAAATACTCGGAGTAACATTCGACAGCCTGCTCTCCTTCTCTGCGCACTCAACCGCTATTGTCAATAAAGTACAGAGCCGCAACAAGGTCCTCAAGTCGCTAGCCGGCAGTACTTGGGGCAAAGACAAAGAAACGTTGCTGGCAACATACAAGGCAATAGGCCGACCGGTTTTGAACTACGCAGCGCCAGTGTGGTCGCCAGGGACTAGTAGGACGCAGTGGACGAAGCTACAGACTGTACAGAACACCGCACTCAGGACAGCGACAGGATGCCTCCTGATGTCGCCTGAACACCACTGCACGGCGAGGCGCAAATGCTCCCTGTAAAGGAACACAATATAATGCTCTGCAAGCAGTTCCTGATCGGGAGCCACAGAAGTGGCCACCCAAGCAGACAGCTGCTTGCAGAGGAGCCCTCGCCTAGGCACGTCAGGAGGCATCTATATGAACTGACGGACGAAGTCCAGAGGTTCATTAAGCAACCTCTGGACCCGACAGCTTAAAGACAGGCCCTGAACGGCATTCACAGGGACTCAGTCTCGAGTTATGTAGACTCTAGACCTGTGAATACCGTTCTAGGCATACCACCCCCGGACATAGACCAGACGGAGCTTCATCTGCCTCGGGAGACACGCACAACACTCGCACAACTTCGCTCCGGCTACTGCAGCAGGTTGAACTCCTACTTGAAGGTTGAATGAGGATGTGCCGAATGAGTGTCCGGCATGCGGAGAGACCCCACATGACTCGAAACATCTTTTCGCATGCCCGGAAAACCCGACAACCCTAACGGCTTTGTCCCTGTGGACAAACCCCACAGAAGCTGCACGCTTCCTAGGGTTGCCGTTAGTGGAACTTGACGACAACGACTGAGATACCAACCGTCCTTGGCGGGGTTGTTGTAGCTGCTACAACAACAACAACAACCCCTTAATATATTTTGATTTCAAAATAAAAAAATTGGGGTATATTTTTTTCAATATGTAACAGCATTAAAATTCCGACTTTAATTTTTTCCGGACCACCCTAATATATATACATAAATGAAGTAACGAAAATATCTCTGGTTTGAAACTGGTTTAGACTAAAAATTTAAGCGATTCTGAAAAGTTTTTCAAGTATTTAATTAATCAGGCTCTCGGGGGGGAATATGCAGCTAGGCAGTACGCTTCGTGAATAAAAAAAATTTCAAAATTTGCTTTCAAATGACGGGGGTTTTCGGGGTAAATTGATCACAATCTTCGGGGTTTTTTCGTTATAAATATTTTACAAATGCCTCGTTGTTTTTGAGAATCCGATTGGTTTTTTTTTGGGCCTTTACGGAACATTTCGGATTTTTTTTGGAATATTTAGGTATTTTCTGCGGAAAGTTTGGAGATAATTTTTTGGATACTTAGTTTTCGGGTTCATCGAGTGTTATTTTTCGGATCATTCAAGACGTGTTAGGGATTTTTCGAGACCTTTCGGAGTTTTATCGCAACTTTTTTTCGGGACGAATTCGAAATTCTTCGTGTTTTGTTTTTTTGCGGGATTTTTTGTAGCTTCCGTAAAATAATGAAATGTATTGATCAAAGTATAACAATAGTTTATGCAGTTAGGCATTCATAAAAAACGAAGTGGAATTTTGAATCCGAAATAATCGCGCATTCACGAAAAAATCTCAAATAACTTAAAAACAGGAAAAACCTCCAAAATTTCCCAAAAAAATTGAACGCGAATAATCTCGAAAAGTCCGGAAAAGGTCATAAAAAATCTGTAAAAATTCCGCAATATCTAAGAAACCTCAACATTTCGATAAAATCCAAATTTTCCGAAAAAAAACGAAAGTCCTAAAAAGTTCAACTATTGTTATACTTTGATCAATACATTTCATTATTTTATTTATAATTAACTTTCTATTCATTTTAAATTTTTTCGAAATATTTCGTGTTTTTTTGGGGGGCTTTTCGAAATTTTTTCTATATTTTTCAGATTTTATGGCTTTGCCGAGTTTTATTTTCGGGATATTTTGAGCTTTTTTCGGTATTTATTATATTATTCTTCGGCATCTTTGGGAACTATAAGATTTTTTAAAATCTTCTTTCTTTTCCGACTACTTGAGAATTTTTTCGCGAGTTTTCTGGTTCAAAAATACATTTAAATTTGAATTTCTCTTTTTATGAATGCCTAAAATTCAAATTAATATTACGGAATTCTTTCAGATTGACGTTCCGAAGGAAAACACCATCTTCGACGAAACCAAACTCAATTACACCGGTTTAAATGCACACACCTTAATGGATAATCTTTATCCGCACTATGCTAAAGATTACACTTCGAATGGTAAAATAGTTGATTTCGCCACGACATTCGGTGTTTTATTTGCTGGCGTGACTGGCATTATGGCTGGTGCAAATATGTCGGGCGAACTGAAAAGCCCTTCAAGAAGTATTCCAACCGGCACATTATCGGCTGTGAGCTTCACATTCGTCTCCTATATTTTACTTTCATTTCTGATGGCTTTAACCACACCAGCAGTCATAATGCAAAATAACTATCTCTTCCTTATGCCGGTTAATTTTTGGCCACCATTCACAGCGATTGGCATACTAACCGCCACTTTTTCAACTGGACTCAGCAATCTTATTGGCTCTAGTCGTATTTTGGAAGCTCTATCAAAGGATCAAGTGTTTGGCTCTCTTTTGAAATTCGTATTACGCGGCACATGGAAGGGCAATCCCGTTGCGGCGGTGTTCACTAGTTGGATACTCGTCGAATGTATACTCTTAATTGGTTCTTTGAATGCAATTGCGCAGGTTAATTCAGTATTGTTTATGCTTTCTTATTTGGCTACAAATTTGGCTTGTCTGGGCATCGAATTGACTGGTGCGCCGAATTTCCGTCCACTCTTTAAGTATTTTACTTGGCACACCTGCCTAATCGGTTTGCTAGGTACACTCATCATGATGTTTGTGATAAATCCGATTTATGCATCATCCAGTATCATATTATGTTTAATTTTGGTCATCGCGTTGCATCTGTTCTCACCAGCTTCGCAGGGCACCCAATGGGGTTCGATCTCACAAGCGTTGATGTTCCATCAGGTGAGCGTGGATATTGATTTTCATTTAAATGCATTTCATTAATTTCTTTACAGGTACGTAAGTACTTGTTGATGTTGGATTCCCGCAAGGATCATGTAAAATTCTGGCGTCCACAAATGCTATTGTTAGTATCATCGCCGCGTTCCTGCTGTCCACTTGTAGATTTTGTCAATGATATGAAAAAAGGTGGGCTGTATGTGATTGGCCACGTGAAGGTGGGTGACTACACGGCCTTCGTAGACCCCACCATTGAGGAAAACAAATATTGGCTATCATTCTTGGATCATATGCGAGTGAAGGCGTTTGCTGAAGTGACTCTGGCCCAGTCTATACGCGAAGGTGTGCAACATTTGATACGTCTATCCGGTATTGGTGCAATGAAACCGAACACTATAATTTTGGGATTCTACGATAGTGAAGCACCAAAGGATTTCTTTGAGAAGTGAGTGCTATATAATAATGTACACACATACGTTTCTTAATTTATTAACGGCACATTTTTTCAGCGGCACTTCACCTTATAAAACCGATGGCTTTAATCACGGCGAAATTCAACACTTTCCCATACGTCGTGATGGCGAAGAAAAACAAATTGATGTCACTGAATATGTGGCTATGATGTGCGATGTGCTCCGCATGAAGAAAAATTTGTGTCTGTGTCGACACTTTCATCGCCTGGATAAGAATTTCATTGCAAAGTAAGCGCGTCAGCAAAGTTTTTTTGTTAAACAAATGTTTAATGCTAAATATTTATTGTTTATTGATAGAAGCAAACATTTGAGGTATATAGATGTTTGGCCAATCAACGTTTTCAATCCCAATCCAAATAATCCTTTCGATGTAGTCTCTCTGTTTATGATGCAATTGGCAGTAATAATCAACATGCTTGCTAAATGGAAGCACTTGCGTTTACGCGTTTTTCTGTGCGAATCAAACAATACAAATACTGAATTAAGGTGCGCTAGAATTAATTGAATCTGTCTGCTATTTACTTTCTACTTATATTTACAAATAAATTTTCGGTTACAGTTCTTTCGATACACAAATGCCACAGCTGGATATTTTCGCTAGAATGAGACTGGAGCAATCTTTGAAGAATTTACGTATTGAAGCGGATATCATAGAGGTAGAGTAGACAAAATTTATTAATATGCAGCCGTTAATTCTTTCTTGCAATTGTAATATATGTGAAATACACTCGATAATGCCTTCATTTCCTCTTTATTTGATTTGTAGATTCAAGAATGGAACCGTGATTCTGAATTCACAAGCCATTCTCGCGTACTCAAACAATTTACAAGCCAAGCTGAGGTTGTCAATGAATTAATTACGGAGGAAAATCTCAATCGCCCGCTGCTTTATATGCAAAGGTTAGTAAAACTAATTATTGCAGTTATTTTATATCTACATACAGTGTTGATAACGACACCCAGGTCCGTCGAAAGGGAGAGGGGAAAGCGGTGAATCCCCCGTGCCCGAGCTTCTTAAGGGGCCCGAAATATCAGAAACATAACTTGGTATTATTTTTTTTACAATATAATTGCTCCTTCGTTATAGTCTTTTACAGGGTGGCGCCGAATGAGCTATATGGTTTAAATGGTTTATAACTTTTTTATTTATGCGATTATTATAATTTCTTTTTTTTTAAATACACTATATTATTGGGGAATTTTTTGCAACTAGCTTTGAAAAATGATATCCTGTAAGTGATGTCCATTTTCTGCTTCGCACATACGTGCTCTTTTTAGCATATTTTCCATAACTTTTCGCAGAATTTCGGTTGTAATGGCCATGATTTCATTTCGAATGTTGGTTTGGAGTTGGAGAATGGTTCTTGGTTTGTTAACGTACACTCTTTCTTTCAAATATCCCCAAAGAAAACTGTTAAAAATGAATTCAAACCATATAGCTCATTCGGCGCCACCCAGTATTATAACCAAAAATTTGAGGTTTTTTTGGCCGAAATTACGATTTGGCAACGCTGCTGGCAGGTCATTTCCAGGCGTGGATCCCGTTGGCATAGAGTAAAAAAAAAAAAACTGTTATAAAGAATTCAAACCATATAGCTCATTCGGCGCCACCCAGTATTATAAATACATATCGTCGTTTAAAGTACAAAAACGCGTATCGTCATTCTGCAAAACCGCGTAACTGGCATTAGCTGCCAAAAATTGGATTTGCTCACACAAGCTCTTGGCTCAATCCTTATCCATTCGTCCTGAAATATACTGGCCAGGTATGCAATTGCTTTATAAAAAAGAGAACCAATTTGAAATATGAGTGTTTTTACTCTCTAGAAGATAATTTACATAATTCACATACGCGGTTTTGCATTATCTTGATACGTGGTTTTGCATTTTGTTGTTCCGATTCGTGCTGATTGCTTCTGAATCTATAAATTAAAGAATATGATCACATCGCACACCTAGATCTAAAGTTAGCTAACTCAAAATTCAGAGAGGGAAATATAACTGCTTGTGGATCGTATAGATGCAAAAACAACAAAAATAGGTATAACAGTAGTTTTTAGTTAATGTATATAATAATGAAAAAAAATAATAATAATAATTGCTTGGCCCAAAACGCGGACTATTACAATATGTTTTGGTTCACAGTGCTTTTCAAATACCGCTGAAACTCGTTATAATACAACTTTCGGATAGGTTATCTTCTTGCATCTGAAATCATAAGTATGTGGCAATGTTTAATACATACCTAAAATATATTGTAGCTGCCGTTTTGAGGAGTTATGAATGTTTCAACAGCGGACTGTTACATTACAATTTTTGGAAGTACTTTTTAAAGCTGCTTTAGGGCTATTCCTGCGAAGATGACACCTCAGGTAAAATAAATAAATTACATAAATCCTGTTTAAATCTGTAAAGAGAATAAAACAGGTTGAATAATTCTTTAGATTTTTATCGATTTATTTTTCACTGTTTTCTCTATTTTATTGTTTTAATATGCTGTAATATTTTTGCATCAAGTTCTCAAGGCATTACTCCTGTACTAAAGGTGACAATGCAAAGAATAATTATCCAAAAAGAAAGAACAATTCATGAACTTTAAAATGGTGGTAAATTATTACAAACCTACATTTATGGCGAGGAGTTATAAGGGTTCAAAAAAATGCTTATTGGATGTCCCACCCGTCATAGAAAAATATGTATTTTTTAACGTAATACACAAATTCTTAAGTTTCCCATTATTTAAATGAGGTCCCCTTATTAAAAATATAATAAATATTTACATCAAACCAGCAGTGTTCATTTTACTCACGAACTATGTGGCCTCAAAGATGACTCGTTCCACCCGCCACAAAATGTTGTCCCACCCGTTACAAGCTAAAATAGGTTTTTTTTTGTATAGTAAAATATAAATGCCATTAAAGGATAAAATGGTACTTAACATTCTTCTAACTACATTCGAGAAAGCCGCTATGAACGAAATATTTATAGTTTGCATAAAATTGGGAAATGAATCCAACAACAAGAAGCGGCTGTCATAAGTACTAAAAAAATTTTTTTCTTAGCTAACTTCGATTCTCTACTAAAAAGGTCCATATACCAAATTATGTGGGACTAATACTTTCGAAGATTATTGCAATTTTAGTAAAAAAATGTATTACTTAATTTATTTATTAATTCTTATTTTTTGGCCATATTGAACTTTGATGGACTTGGGCGAGCCTAAGATACTGACCAAAAATTGTCATATTTCACACAGATTGTTTTTAGAGCATAGTGAACCATATTTTTGCTATTACCAATCAAAATTCTATAAGGCGGATTTTCGGCCCACGCTACTGTTACGTTACCTGTACGATATACGTGTAGCGATAATATTATATTTAGGTTTTTAATGTCTTTTAGTGTGTTTTATGCAATAAGTAGAATAAATTCAGTAGACTTGCGATTTGACATGTAATCCAAAGAAATCCTGCAACTATTCGAAACAAAGCCTATACCAAATAAAAAAAAAACACTGATTATACTCATATTCTTGAATACTTTTCCAGAGTCAACCAAATAATACGTGAACGCTCCGACCAGACGGCTGTTTCTTTTATATATTTGGCTGCACCACCGCTAATCGACACACCGGATTTCACAGAGCGCAGTGCACGTTACATAGAGCTACTAACCGAGTTGACTGCTGATTTGCCACCCACTATTCTGGTACATGGCATAAGCACAGTTACTTCGACAACGCTGTAAATTCCAGAGATTCCATTAAACTGTAAACTGTTTTATATCGATCCTTAATGTATGGTTCAAGTAAGTATATTGTGTATGTGAGACATTACCGAAAAAAAAGAAAAACTTCCTATATATAGTATGTATTAAATGCTGAATATAATACTTACATAATTATTTAAGTTTTGTTGTTTAACTTTATTTGCATGTTTTCGTTAAACGTATTTGAATTCAGCATATGTATGCAGTTCAAAAAAAAAAAAAAGAGTTTGCGAAAGTAGTTGATCATCGCACACCTTTCTTAGCTGAAACTGGTTTTATTAAAAGAGGAATGGCCTTATTCATAAAAACAAAGTAGGTTTAAAGAGCTTTATAAATTGACGTTTTCATACATTTTTCAATTTATAAACCTTTTATAAAGCTACTTTATTTTTTATGAATAAGGCCATAAGTCTTTATTTTAAAATTAAGGAGAAATTCGTAATAAATAATTAAATGAATGAATAAAATGTAGCATAGGCTTACATTTACAAAATTATTTTTATGTGCATTAAATTTTTTTTGGTCTAAAATATCTGTACTAGGGTGGTGCTTAGAATATCAACAAAATTGGGCACACCTTTATTTTGTTCTACGTACGAAATAAATACATTCACAAAAATTTCAAATTTTAAAATAAATATTTTTTTTAATAGCAAAAATTTTACAAAATGTTGCATTTGACCAGCTATAACCCAGCGAGTTTATGAATTTTTATGAATAAGTTTCAATAATATGTCTCACTAATTAGATTTCAATTCAAAATTTTGTCGAAATTTCGCGATAAAAAAAAAATATTAGTTACTTCAAATTTTTTTTAACAGTTTGAAATTTTCGCGAAAGTCTTTATTTTGTACGTAACTAGAACAAAATTAAAGGGTGCCCACACAAAATTTAAAAGTTGATATCTTAACCCTTTCAGTGCAAAAAATCAACTGTTGAAAATAAAAATCTGAAAATTTGTTTACCGGCTAATTTTGGGTCGTTGATTTCAAAAATACACTCAAAACTTGTATAAAGCTTTTAGTTTTACCGTTATTCAGCGTCCATTATATTGGAAAGTGCTTTTAAAATCTGTTAGTTTTACCGTTATTCAGGGTCCATTATGTCCTCACTTATTTTTTTTTCTTTCGCGAAACATATTTCAAAAATAATGAAATTTTTTTTCGAATCTCACTTCCATCAAAAACTCTTGCCAATATATTACCCTGTTTCCTATCGACTTTTCTGACATACTTTTCTTTTTTTTTTGTGAAGAAAACGGTCATCTGTATTCAGGAAATACAATTAAATAAGCGCAGTAAAAAATTATGATATAGATAATTTTATCAAAACAACTTTTCTTTTAACAACAAGAGCTCTTATTTACGAAAAAAAGCTTTAAGCACAAAAAGGGTTGTCTAATATATTTTGCGCTTGTACTGACAACTTTAAGGACCACCCTAATCTACACGTCCTTATTCAGAGATGTCCTTTAAAGACTTTAGGGCCAGCGTTAGTGAAACGAAATGTATTTATAATCTTTAAGGAACTCCCATATTTCTTTGTACTAAATTAATTTTCATTTAAATTGTATTATAATTACAATAATATGCGATCTTGAATATATTTTCTGAATCAAACTACATACAATGTAAAAAAATTTTGATATAAAATGGTAAAAATCATGTTTTTTATTTTATTCGAAAAATTACGCATCTGAGATCGTGAAAAACTACATATCATAGTAGCTACTTGTTCGGGAACACAGCAATGCAAAGCCACAGTTACATTTCCATGAAATATATTGTATGCAGCTGTGAAGTAAAAGAGAGTGAAACTTTGCGTTGATGCATTTCCGTGCAAGGGTTGTTTGAAATCGACTTGCATATGCGTACGTACCATTTATTAAATACAAACATACTTACAATTTAGGGGCGTCCTTATTTTTAATTTTCGCATTTAAAAAATTTTCTAATTCCAAGTTATTCTGAAAAAAATTTGTTGCGACACTTAAAAAAGCTAAAATAAAAAAAAGATAAAATATAAGGAGGACCCTAATAACTTTTATGTGAGATAACTTTTAAAAATCTCTAAAACTAGTTATGCATATTTTAACATGACACCTAATTTATTAGGGCAATTCATCTAAATGCGTAATGCTTCGTAACCACGCAAACCACATAAACTTGTTTAATTTTGTACTGACAACCGGTTTATTTACGAGTTTTACGCGTTTACAAGGCATTTAGAGGCGTTTAGATGAATACCAACATTATTTGCATTTCGGCACACATTTCTCAAATACATATGTACATATACATACATATTAGGATAGGCCTTAAAACATCAACATCCAAATTTTGTATGGGGCTTTCCTTTATTTTATTTTACGTGCAACTACGTGTACAATAAACACATACACGGAAATTTCAAAATTATAAAAAAATTTCTGGGGTGGCTATCAGGGTTTGAAAAAATTAAATTAAAAAAAATTTGACTCAACTTTGACTTGAAACATGATAAATTTTACATATTATTGAAACTTATTCATAATAAGTATGAGTTTATAAGCTCGCTGTGTATTGTCGAATCTAAAAGAACAATATCTATTTTTTTCAAACCGTGGTAATTTACAATGTTGTTTGTTTTTGAAAATTTTGAAATTTTCTTGGATATATTTATATTGTACGTAAAACAAAATAAGTTGATGAAGTTGATTTTTTAAGGACCATCCTAATACATGTTTATGTCATCCAATACGAGTATACATATGAATAACGTGAAGCACATTGAGCTAAAGTCTAACTAAATTTATGTGTGCAACTAAATTTAATTAAATGTGATTTTTACGTGAACAAGTGGAGATCTGCTAAAGGCTATAACCATATTCTAGTTTTATTGAAACAAAAAAAAAAATTATAAAAAAACAAAACAAAAATTAGTTTATTAAAATTTTACACTTTTAGTATATAGCAAGGCACATTAAACAGGTAGTATCAGTAGAGCAAAAACAACATTTGCGTGTATTTTGTTGTTGCTTCTGGTATCGAAAGTGTCAACAACTGTTTTGAATTTTTTCTTCTAAATCAAAGCGTGCCATGTGAAATACAAAAAATTATAAAAAATAAAAAATTGAAATTGGGAAAAATTTAAATTGATGCAACTTTCTTTCCTAGTAAATTTGTTTGCTTCTCGAAGCATTGATCCATCCTTTGCAAGGCCCAGTAATCAGCGGTCGTGCTGCCGAGTTGGGCGAACGTTCCAAAAGCTGCTATTCAATCGCTTGTTTTGTATGAAAAAAGGTTTCACAAGCAAATGGATTTTAACAACTTATAATTTTCGTGAGGTAAAATTAAAAATATTTGACATTTTCGAGACCAAATAATTTGAAAATAAATCAAATCAGCAGCTCTACTGATACTACCTGTTCAATGTACCTTGGTATATAGTATACCCATCCCAATAAGCAAAATAAACTTAAAGAAAGTTTTTTTTAAGTTTTCAATTATAAACATTAAGCTTACAAAACGTTGATTTTTTGTTTATAAAACGCTTGAAAGTAAACGTAATATAATCGAAAAGGAACATTGGTTATAAGCGTAGAAATATAAACTTGTAATAAATGTTCAAAAAAAAGCTTTTTATAAGCGTAAAAGTGTAAACTTATAATAAAGGTTCAAAAAAAGTTTTTTATAAGGGTATGAATATAAACTTACTAAAAATTTTCAAAAGAAAGCTTTTTATAAACATTTTTATAACACTTTATTTAAAGATATTTCATTAAAAACTCATACATAGATTGCTTAACATCTAGAAACTAAACGAAATGCGAATTTTCGGCGGACTCATTTACTGTCGCGAAAATATAAATAGGGAATAGACATTTTAGCATACAAATTCACAACAACACATACAAATTAAGCATAAAAAAGTTAATTATTACATCTTGTTGCGTGCTTTCAATTACTTGCGGTTATTGGCAAATTGGAAAAGCGACATCGATGCAGCTATATATTCCGCTTCATCGCCGCCATTCTCATTGATGAACTTTTCTGAAAAAAATTTAATACATTTTTAATTGAATGTTAAACTAAGAAAGGATAAGGGGAACTCATCATTTGAAGACTCGAATGCTCCACCGATTAGCGCAGCGGGTCCTGGATTGGGTTTTTTTTACCACATCGGTTTTATTTAATTTTTTCTTTTAATAATATATTTTAAAAAACGTAAACACGTCACTTACGATTGGAAAAATTTTATATTTACTACTTCATGTCGTTGGCATTTACATTTCATTTATAAGTTTAAGTTATTTATAAACATTCGCTCTCAAAACTTATTAAAGGTTTATTTGAAAAAACTTTTAATAAGCTTAATATTGAAAATGCTTATTTAACGCTTATTATAGCAAACTTAATTTAAGTTATTTTTAAAAACGTTTACTGAAATGCTTGTTGGGCATATTTATATACACACACATGTATAAACGCATACTTATTTTGCACCACATTTTCGCTATAAACAACTATTTGTAAACCAATCAAATATTGAAAGTTAAAAAAAAAAAAAAAAATAAACTCAAAAACTTCTTTAAATATTTTTTTTTTTTTACTTTCAGCTGATAGCGAATCCTAAAGCACTCTATTCAAAATACTCGAAAAGTTCCATATTTATTCAAAGCAATTTATAAGTAATAAGCGCGTAAACTTAGATAATGTCTTAATATTGGCGTCAACGCTCAGCACTTCATTGAAGAAAATATCCCGATCAAGTAACAAGCAAAAGCGTCTTAATTTTTAAAAAGCAATTGATATATTCTATCCAGAAATGTTCCATACTTCCTCTCCGAAAAATAAGTAGTAGCCCATTGTGAGTGACCTCTGCGAGTGAGTGCCAAGAGTTGGCACATTCCTCTAGATTACTGCGAGCAAGAATGATCAATTGTAGTTGTTCCCAACCTTTTTAAACCGGCGACCCACCGTATTCTTATCGTAATATCTCCACGACCCATCGGTTAATGGTGGAGTAAAAAATTACCATAAATAATTTACCATTAAATATTGAAAATATGTACATATATATGCAATAGAATGGCCCTTAACAATTAATTTCAAACCTCCGGACAGAAAAAGTTTCCTTTTAGCCTTAATGCTTCCAATATAAAATTTAGTGGCGATCGGATAAGATTTAGTTGCCGCGCAAAGCCGGTAATGTATGAAAGTACATGTAATACAGGAAAAATAGGATGTTTTATTCCCAATCCCATTAAACGAAACTTTTCCAATTAGTTTACTATAATGCCTGATTTTCGTTAAAATGTCCTGTATAGAAAGCTATCAAAGTCCAAAATCAGTTGAAAATTGAGAAAGTCGCAGAAA